GATTTATGGTTATGTTACTTTACCGAGTAATATCTTGTTCCAGCATCTGGATTGAGACCGGCAAAATGACACTTTGCTCTTCATTTTTTGTAATAGCTTCGCACCTGAAATGATTCGCCTATTTGAACATTTGATTGCATAAAACAATTCAATGGATAATTATTATGACTGAAACTGAAAAGGGATATTCAAGGCATAGATGACAATTAGCTTATCTGTTATGTTGACACAAACAGTAAGTAGATTAGAAAAACCTGTCGCATTTTATGCTGGATTCTATAATGAAGGCAAAATTCGACGTGACAGGATTTTTTGTGTTTCGTTCCTTTTTATCCTGAATGCCATATTGTTTGCACAACATCACGTCGCATTCCTCTTCGATTTGACTCAGAATACTAACTAAGAATTCAAGGGCATCCTGCAATTAAATGATTTCTCACAAAAACTTCTACTGAATTAGTAGACAAACTCAAGTTGCAATTGATAAAAATGTCGAGTTTTTATAATAATTATTTCACGGCGCTCGGAAAACTTTTCCTTCTGTCCATAGATACCAACAAAGGTCAAACAGGTTTATTTGAAATTGAAAGTAATGTTATTCAAACATATATATTTCAAAATAATTAATGCAAATTTAAGAATCAACCTGTTGTGCATTATTCCAGAAATGTGCTCTAATTTTGATCATTTTTAGAAGATGCTTTTTCAACTGATTTGTAGCGGAATCACGTCGGCTTGCAAGATTAGCAACTGCCCTAAACAAGTTTCATCTTATATCTTATTCATTTGACAAAAAAACCTTGAAGTCCCATCCCAATAAAACACAAAATCTGACATAGTGTTATAATTTATTCTGTAAATTAGAATCTACGTTGCTAGCACTTATAGCACTATTCATATATAATATACAGAAAGCATTAGTAAATAGATACATCTACATTAATGGCTACATTTTTTAGATAGATTGGTCCGGAAGTGAACTTGGTACCACTTGGATTTTATAAGAACTACTCGCTTCAAAAATTTATCAGAAAAGTGCTGAATCTGAATGGTTCTTCAGATCAAATGATCTTGTAAACAAATTTTTTTTGATTTTTCGTTTCTTTTTTACAAGATAAGAAATAGGGAAAAGAAAATGGACTTAGAAGAGAAATAAGCAACTCTTTACTATTCATAAGGCTATCAAACAAGTATTCAATGCATACAAGCTCAATGGCATTTCTTCATCCAAATCCAAGCCAAGTTCCTCGAGCATTTTACAAAATTTGAAAAGATCTTTGACAAAAATTGCATTCGCGAACATGCCTTGGAGTATGGAGTTCATATAGCATGTGTTACCAAGATTCTCGAATCTATAATATCCAAGTGGTGTTGCAAATTATTAACAAAATGATAAGCATTCTATCTATATTAAGCTGAAATACGATAAAAGAAAAAGGGTAAAACTGTGATTTACGCACCCGGATGTCTCGACATTGACATTTCTGAAAATGCCATCACGTTCACTGTCGGTATGACTCTGCAATTAAACATCTATGAAAGACCAAAACACAAATGACTCGATGATTCTCCTAAAATAACTTGCATTATGTGTTCTTGAAATGTCGGCTTACATTTAAAATCAAAAACATTGGTTTTAGGCGTAACTTAAGTATCAAAAAAAAAATTCAGCATAGAGATTTTGAAAAGCAAAAAAGAAACGATTATGGCACACTGCGCTATAGATCATGTAACCATATACTTTTTTAGATGGAAATATTCCATCATAGAAGCTTGTTAAACTTATTCCACGTGATCTGACGGAATTCTTTGACCTAAAAGGAATAAAAGATCAATGAATTTAAAGTGAGATTAAACAAATATTTATACAGGAGTGATTAACATACTGGATTAAAGGGCTTTCAACCTGCAAAAGAGCACATGTAATACCACTCAATGGATTAGATACCTGGATCGTTTTGCTGTCGGTTCCAGCGCAGAATCTAGCGTGAATTGGTCAAGCCACGTTCTGACTGAAACAGAAATAAGGAGCAAATAAACAGATGTCGCGAAAGATTGTCTGGATTTTTTTGGCAATTCCAAAATTTGGACGTAGTCATAAAACATGCTGGTATAAATACCGAAAATATTTATACAAAAAAAGGAATGAAAAAAACGAACCATTTTCAATGTCAGCCGGATTTGCCATGTGCTGAATACTGAAAACATAATCTTGAAACACTACAACAAATTTCAGATAAATGTTTGTCATTAACCACTCTAACATACGTTCTGGAAATACATCCGAAAGCATAGTTGTACATGGAACACAAGGAGGAGATTCATAACACTATCTATATGAGTCTAATGAGAGTAAAGAGCTATGGTTTAGAAAAATATAATTTTGTCAGTAGATCTTGACGAATAGCGATAACACCATCGCAAAACAATCACTTTCTTTAATTCAGCTCTCCCATTCTTTTTAATTAAACTCCAAAATCTATCATTTTCGGACAACTCGTAAACATTGCAGGCATTTTAATTTTTATTACATATCACATCCGACTTCAATTTTTTTATTATTTTTTATTTTGCTAAAAATATAAATCAATCAGAATATAAATCACAGAAAACCTAACCGTGCTTTCTGTTCCTTAAAATCTTGCCGGAATCCTGGCAGGTCTTTTGGCGAAAATTGGTGATATACTGGTTGAAAAAAATCATTGAGATAAATCACAAAAGGTAAATGGAAAAGTTTATATTAGTCACAATATTTCAGAAAGAATGAAAGTAATTTGCAAAAACTACTGCTTGGTAAAACTGCTAAAATAATATGCTAGAGGTATTAGATCTTAAATAATTTAAATATTTAGCATTCTGTATAAAAAAGGCAGGAAAACCAAATTTTATGATTTAAAGTAATGAAGAACTTGAAAATAAATAGAAAAAGAATATAAATTCTACCCAGGCATTTTCTTTTCAAGATTTCATGAACTTCTACCATACTTCGATTACACTCAAATTTGACAAAAAACGCAATATTTTCGTCACCTTTAATCCAAAAGGCTAGGCTACTTCCTGGGGGCGCAAGCCAAGGAAAGCCTCTCACTGTTTTGAATGATATCGTCTGAAATATGTGAGTAACATACGACAAATACACAGCATGAAACACATTTCGAAACACACTGGAAATTGTGATAACTGTGAAACTTACTAAACGAAAATCAAAAAGGAAGATAATTTTTTGGCACATCTGATTCACTTTCATTAATCCAGCTCTCTGTTTAGGGATCGCATTTACAGGTCCGTGTACTACCTCAAAATAACGTAATCATTAAGGATTAAAACACGAAAAATTCACATCAATTTTAAGCATATTTCTTATACAAAAATTAGTTGTAGGATTATAATCTGACTCTTCATCTTATATAAAAACTCAACAGAGTTTAATATATATGATGCAATCGTTGAACAATGTAATATTGCTGAAAAAAGTCGTAAAAAGAAAAATGAAGTTGGTTGAACTTAAAATTTAAAAAAAAGTGGAGAAAAAGGAATAGAAAAAGACAAGTCAACCTTTACACTGAATTCACCATGCTTCCCAACCATCATCGTCATTTTTTCCGAAAAATTTCCCTTCTTCACGATACGCACAATAATAATCTAGAAAATAATTATCGGTAAATCGAGGATCACAAAATATGATTTCCCGGCCAATTATTTTGCCCGAAAATTCCCCAATACTTCTTGGCGGCATACCCTACTACCAAGCTTAGAGTTAGCAAGCCCAAAAATTCCCCCAACTACCGAACAACTCCCACCCATCCCAGCCCCAACAACCCAAAATGCAGCAACGCGGCGCGGCAAAATGAGACGCCGCGCGGCAAAATGAGACGCCGCGCGTGCGGACCTGGCAGGCTGCGACCTGGCAGGCACACTACCCGCCCATTATGAAATCGTTAACGATACAAATTTGGGCGCCCATTCAAATATTGCGACTTTTGTGAAAATTCGAATTATTTCTTAAATTTTAGGATTCAATCACGTAAGCTGCGATAAACTGTGCGAGATAGAAAAAAAAAACGATTGAACAGACGAACGCACCACAAATGATGATGCAAAGGATTAAATTTCCATTTTGTAGCAATAGCTAAAACGAAAAAGGAATAGGTCACTTTCTATTGTCAAAGAAACACCGCCACTTTATGTTTTCATGTGACAAAGGCTTACTGAGCGGTTGGATGATGAAAATTTGAGTGATTATTGGTTAATTAAATAATTTCATTATGATTTTCCATAAAATTGTTATCATAAAAAAAATCAAAAGAAAAACTGGGTGATAAAACGGTTAAATGAATTTTAGCTCATAAATGAAAACCTGTTAGAAACTCGGAAAGAATGATAGAAAAAGGTTATGTCATTAATTTAGATACTTCCTGGATTTTGTCACAAACGAAACAAACGAATGAACCGAGTTTTTTTCCACTTTTGGGATATTAAAATCAAACAACAAAGTGTAATTTAAAGATGATGACATGGTTTGATTTGGAAACTTCTGAACATTATACATCTCTTTCTGTACACAAATTCATTCATTGAGATAAACAACAAAGTACAAGAATACTGTCAAACAGCGGTCATCCGGACGGAATGTTTATTCCATCTTTGTGCACTGTTTGCTCCATCGCAGCGGAAAGAGCTCTGAATTGAACGGAAGAGGAATTCGTCAAATGCTGGATCTTTTCAAAAAGTGTCAGAGCAATTGATTACAGTAATGCATAGTCACAGCAATTGTATGAGAGTTAAGAGATCAATAGAGAAACAACATACAGTAACCACAAAAATTAAAACAGTAATGCAACAACAACAACAATGTATAGTCACAGCAATTAACTCATTAACCTATAATATTACAAGGATAAAAAACGATAAATCAATGAACAGAATTTTACAGGAGTGTGAATAGTGACGAGAAATATATCAAGAAATCCTCGTAGTAGAAAGCGTGATAGAATGGATGTATTGAAAATACATGGGGAATACAAAAACTAGTGAAAAATGAAAAGAAAGATGAGAAATTATTACTGCAACGAATAATGGAAGTATGTTATGACAATGTCTCACTTTTGGATATTTCTTAAAGGACAGTCACTTCTGAACCGAGAATGATAGTTTGTGGCGTCTCGAGTATTTCATCATTAACGCTTGTTTAAATACAATCACAAAAGTTAACATAACTTAGTACAAAAAATTAGCATATTTTTAAATATAAAAGACAGAAATATTATTTCTGTCACTCATTGTTCCTGTGGTT